GAATCTATCTTTTTGTTTGTTTAGAGTTTTTAAAAAAGCATGTTAGGTTTTCCTCAATTACATTTTTTTTTTTTTTTTTTTTTTTTTTTAAATAGTCCAGTTATTAAACAATAGAAAGGCAACATTGGGACTGCTTGGTGAGGGGGCAGAAGTTTGGGTCTACTATTCACTATAAGGAAGTTTAATTATGAACCCTATTTTTAGCTCCATTTCTTATCTCCAGAGTCTGCCGCTTCTGAATCCAGTGTTTTTCCTAGCTTCTTACTACATTGGAATCTCCTTTGAGATTGTAGCTTCCTCTGTCAAAACTTTCACCAGCTTTCTCTTTTTCAGACATTGCTTGAAATCTTTTATCTCCTGCTGACTCTTTTTGTTATTGTGAAATCATACCTTTTTATTTCTTTACTTCTATCTTTGGGAGAGGGCGAAGATAAACTCCTGAGAATGGTCAATTATGTGGAAGAAGCACTCCTACTTTGTTTTTAAAAATGTTTTACCAATAACTTGTTGCTTTTTATTCCTATTACTGTGCTTACATGCTTTCAGCAATGCCATTTCCCTGTTTCTACTCTCTCCCTACATCTAAATATAGAGCTTTATCATCTGGAAAATTAGCAAAATGTCTAATAAAAATGAGTTCTAAATAGGAGCAAATATCATATTAGAAGAGGATTTGTTTGCGGCATCTGGTTTAGCTACTGAGAGAAATTTTTGCTTACTTTTGGGTTTGAATGTAAATGCATTTTAAGATAAATGGAACAAATAAAGGTGCAGTATAACTGTGTTTACAATTTTGTAACATATTTCCTCATGATTTTTGTTTTTCTGTTAAACTGAATTGCAAATATTCTTTTAGTTGGTCTTTTACTAAAAATTATTAGAAGATTATATGTGTAGGGAATGCCAAAAAAATGTTTTAAATCCCTAAAACAAGAGTTGGCAAACTTTTTATTTAAAGAGCCAGGCCAGCCTGTGGCTCATACAGTTGTAACAACTACTCACCTTTGCCCTTATAGCATAATAGCAGTCATAAGCAATATGGAAATGAATCATTGTGGCTGTGTTGCAATAAAACTTTATGTATACTAAATTTTTGTTTTTCTGTTAAACTGAATTGCAAATATTCTTTTAGTTGGTCTTTTACTAAAAATTATTAGAAGATTATATGTGTAGGGAATGCCAAAAAATGTTTTAAATCCCTAAAACAAGAGTTGGCAAACTTTTTATTTAAAGAGCCAGGCCAGCCTGTGGCTCATACAGTTGTAACAACTACTCGACTTTGCCCTTATAGCATAATAGCAGTCATAAGCAATATGGAAATGAATCATTGTGGCTGTGTTGCAATAAAACTTTATGTATACTAAAGTTTGAATTTTATATAATTTTCATGTATTGAGGAATATTTTAGTTGGTCTTTTACTAAAAATTATTAGAAG